CCCCCCCCCCCCCCCCCCGTGTTCCCTGATAAATACGCTGACATATTACATAGGCGTGCCGAAGCATTAAACCTCCCGCTCCTGTGTCTAAATCGCATCGTGTTTCTGCGAACGATCCTCTTAAGAGGTATGTGAAGGTCAAACGGCATATCGCATGACCTCCGATGGTCACTTAATTCTGAGTGTAAAATCCGAGGTAAAGAGGTACGAAGTGGCTCTGAAGTGCCTCGGGTACTTATCTGCAGCTGGCGCGGAAAAGGAAAATATGGAGAATGAAATTGAAGGAGAAAAGAGAGGCGATAGGGCTTGGTGGTGGTTGGTCGTTATTACGTGGCTACTCTCATTAGGTTCGCCCTTATACGAAAGTGCCGCCGTGACCCACACGGGCTGGAGTCACGAATCGTCGTGAATTCGTCGCAGCTTTTGCCGGTAATTTGCGGTAATATTATAATCAGCCCCTTGCTGGGCCTGAAGAGGTGCCGACCCTATATGCTCCGGGGCTATATTGATGACCCGTGGAATCGAACGTCTCGCCTTACGTATATATATATACTGCTTTTATTGGGCTTGCTTTATAAGCGCGTGGTACGTCTCCCTTAGGTATATACACCTTCGTTTTTCTTGCGCGATCTTACTCAACCCGAACTCTCGAAAATATCTTCCATCGCTAATGCACCTGAATGCGTGTCCCTCGGCTAGCCATTATGTTAATCTTTCGCGTATTATTTTTTTCAAATGTATTATCCTTTCTACCTTTTCGGTATAATTACTCTTATTGTTAGCAGCGATAAATTTGCTTCAAGACTAATGTACAATTCCAAGTATTTCGGGATTTTATATACCAATGTTGATTAACGTCCGACCGGTCTAAACGTTTCTTGGTTTTTGGAAATTTATCGAGATGTATAGGAGTTGACAAACTTTTGAATGTATGTATATGTAGAATTATTATCGAAAAGAGGAGAAGGTTGAAGAGGTTAGGATTTAGGATCATGCTATAACAGCGATCGACATTTTTGTCGCTTGATTAACACTAGAAGGATCCAGCCAAGTCAAAATGACCCACTAGAAACTTTCTGAAAGTAAGATTTTACGTGATGTTACTTAAAATTTGTCTCATATCGACAGAAATAGAAGTAAACATGTAGAAAATAAAGTGAGAAAGTTACAAACGATAATACCTATCAGTATCGGAAATTAATTTTTTTTTTTTTTTTGCAAATTATTAATTGGTCGTTTGAACCCGATCGGTCCTTTTAGTGTTAAGAAACGTAGAAAAGAAATTGATATTCCAAACTGTCTGCAGTACTTCACAGATACTTAAAAATATACATTTCTATTTAGACCTTTATCCTTTTCACTTTGCTCTTGCGTGATTTTGTTTCATTATTTTAAACGAACCAAGTAAAAGAATAGTTAAGTAATAGAATAAAAAATGTCTATTTTACATATATTTAAATTTCTCAACTATTTCCGAAGATGCTATCTCTTATTTTTCCTTACACATATCACCGTTTATTACGATAATATATGCCTAAAATTTCAATTTTGCAATTTCCCTTCGTGTGACTATTTTTCAACATGTTATTTTAGAGTATGAAAATAATTCTTAGTTTCTGTTATCGAATTCGTTTTATTTACTCGTAGTATATAGTTAACGATAAATTGAAGATTGCATTTTTCTTTTGTTTCAGATGATATTGTGGGAATTCATTGTACGCATGGTGTGAATCGTACTGGGTATCTTATTTGTAGGTTAGTAAGCTTTTTCTTAGGCGAAACATTAAACGGTTTATTAGCAATCGTTTTAAGTGTATTCAACACTGGTAAAATCAACAAATTAATAATTTGCGATTAGATTTATCAAATCCCGTCGATAATCCAATGTACAGATTTATGCGTTTTGTTACAGGTATCTAGTGCAGCAATTAGGTTGGAAACTTGAAGATTGTTTAAAAGGTAGGGGGACTTGGTAAATTTTTTTAAGTTTCTTGGTTGTTAATTCGACATTGCTCCCTCTTTATTAAGTCACAGGGTTACTCGGGATAATTTGCACTGTTCTTATTCCTAAATGACGTGCGTAATTCTATTACTCAACCGTAGAAAGTTTGCTAATCGCTTGATTTTCGACTTTAAGAAACACAAAGTTTAATATAATTTTCAGATGAGCAATGTCAGAAGGAATGTCGTGTTTCAAAATTCATTCACGTAGCAAATAAATATGTTCTAATTCAAATTGAAGTTCCAGCCTGAAAGGGATACACATTGTAATGCATCGATTTTATTTACATCATTTAAATACGATCGTAGCTTTGTTTATTCTTTCAAAGATTTGGCCAAAACTCCCAAAGCACGTGACACTGTCACATATACAAATAAACATTTCATACGCGTCGAAAGTTTACCGTGAAACGCAATATGTGTGTGTTGAATTTATTATCGCGTTACGATAGAAATAACCTTGCAAAACTGCTACACAACAGGCATACAAAGTTTCGTTACTCGATGGGATAATTTAGTACGTGACAAATGAAAAATTGAAAATATCCTCGATTATTTCCGAATTGTTTCTGTTTGCTTCATCGGGAGAGCCCCGGGCTCGTGGCAGCCGATAGTAGGTTAACGGGGGTTGACTAACGATTTTGTTTTTTTCAGAATGATCTCTTTATTTACAGCGAAGAAAAGCAAACCTATCTCGATTTATTTTGTCGCAGCCTGCTATACGCACGTGCTTTTCGTATCTGTTTCAGCGTTCGAAAAGGCTCGTGGACATTCCATCGAGCGTGAGAACTATTTAAACGCGTTAAAGAGAATACCGCAGGAGAAAATCGACACTAGTAAAGTCGCCGTGAAATCAATCGCAACACCGATGCCTGAAGCATCGAGAAAGATGGTAACCCGTATCTCCGCGAAGTACACGAGAGGTAGGCCATCACCGATGAGATCGCTTGGCTTCGTATCATCACGTCGCGCTTTCCCAAAGGATGGTCCATTTTCCCCGCCACATTTCGGGTTTGGTGGTCCTCCGCCAGGTTTCCGTTCCATGCCACCTCCACCTGGTATACCACCCATACTGCCACCCCCAGGTCCTCCACCTATGTACGTGCCAAGACCGTTTAGGTACGGACCACCGCCGCGACCAGCTATGCCTCCACCGCCGCCTAGACCGGGATTCCCTATTCCCGGTTTTCCACCACCCTGTCCCCCCAGAACACCTGGCGGGATAAGGTTATCTCACGGGCCACCTGCTCGGTTACCACCGCCAAAAATGCCTCCTCCTCCACCTCCACCGCCTCCTCCACCACCTCCACCACCTCCTCCACCTTCGTCTTTGTCGAAATCCGCGCCGACACGACCTGCCGCGTTGGAACGACTGCAAGTGCAAAAGAGGAAACCGCACCTGAGAAATGGTATAGTGAGGCCAGCGAGGTATCACGTCGACATTGTTAGGCACAATAGCCAAATGCGTAGGATAATACCGAAGTTACTAAAGGAGCAGGATTTCACGATAGACACTTTCGAGGAAAATTTACTGACAGTTTCCAGCCAGTCGACCAGATGGCCAACGAAAAGAAGATTCAATCAAAGCAAGTAATGTCGATGTCATCTAGGCGGCATAATATTAACAGAATGGTACAATATATCGTATAACTCGTTATCGCCGAGACTCGAAGCCATCCTTTCGGTGTTTAAGCATCGACGTATAAGCAATTTGTAAAGAAATTGGACAACGACGGTTACTAACTAGTACGATTACGGAGATTTTTGGTGACTTGGGCAAATAGAGAAGAAACCGAACGAACATTCGTTGAACGTGTTATGCGTAATGTATACACGAACGTGTAATACAATGTAAAAATTGTAATTGAATGGCGGCAATACGTTTGGGTGCCCATTCCACTTCACATGCTGTTTCTGTTTCCGTACATGTTCCTTTTCCTGATACTATTTTCAAAGTATCATTCTTCATTGATGAAAATAAATGCACTTTGTCGATAATTTTATTATGCTTTTTTTCATTTTGTCATATTCCTTTTGTAATTCTGTCGTGAACCAGAATACCGCAGTTCTTTCGTTCGAAATCACACACGAGGTCGTGAAGCCCTCTTACACTGTGTTATCGCGCGATATTGCACAATAGAACTCTGGTAACTGGGAAATCAATCGCTCCTTTGTGTCTGAATTTGTTGCTCATTTCTTGAACATGTGAACTTGTTGTTCAGTTGAAATGTTTCAAGTGTGATACTAAATGATGCCTTTTGTAATTGCCTTGGTGATGCTTCTTGTGAGGCTTGTCGTCTCGATGGTATGTCGAAGTTTGTGTAATTACCGTTTGTTTCTTGTTAACAATTTTTTTGTTTCTACTTTACTAACTCCTTTTACATATTAACAATTTGTCAAAAAGACAATAAACAAATATATGTAATTATTTTGTTACTACAATTCCACGTGGCATTTTCCACCATTGTGGAATCAGCACTTATTTAGTCTTTATTGTTCCACATATGCGTAATTATTTATTTCACAAGATCTACTAACGGGTGCTTTCTCTTTAATCTTTTAGAAATTGGATCGAAACGTGGTAGAACAGTTGGTTCGGCATGGTTTTTCCGAACGTACCAGGGTGCATTAGTTACTTGTCTGATTGTCAGATAAATGGGTTTTGTATGCGTTCTAACATTTCAAATGCTGCTTCTATAAATGTACATTATGTCGAAAAACTTCCAGTCCGAAATACATTTGGATTTTGTTGGTTATTAACACTAGGTTTACGGGACGCTTCAATTTAGGAAAATTACAGAAACCGTTTACATTTTTCATCTACCGTTTGCACCGGCTTTTATCCATTTAACCAGACAAGTATGTATACATCGAAATTCATTTTCTTCGAAGCTTTCTAATTTTGAAATTCTCTGTTGAATTTCAAAAACTAAATATGCCTTAATTGGGTCAATTTGATCAATTGCCGAGATTATTTCATTTGAAATTAGATTATTTTTAAAAATTTTTATCTTCGTAATATTAATCTATCTATACGGATACGCGTCAGTTTGACGCCATCGTAAAGTAAGCATTAATGCTAGTAAATTGGCTTCACTCGTGAAAGCATTACTGCGGTAATAAATATAAACGTGACAAAAGAGTTAGTTCTTCAAGAAATGGGGCTTTCTTCTCGAGCACAATGCCTAGAGATCAGTTTATGCAAATTCTTCGATTCGTACGATTTGATAAAAGAAGAGAACTGCAGATTGCATTCTCACAGATTTGCATTGATATCTGAAATATGGAAGAAATTTATACACAGTAGTCAATCCTGTTGCAAACCTCACGAAAATATTTCAATAGACGAGCAACTGTTCCCTACGAAAGCCCGATGCAGATTCACCCAATATATGCCAATATCACCGTGTATAAGCCAAAGATAAAGGTATTGTTACTAAGCATAGATCTGTGAAATTCAAAGACAATAACAAACGCACCCCAGAAACAATTGTATATTACAATAAGAGTAAGTTTGGAGGAGACGTAGTTGATCAAACGGCGTGGAAATATACCGTCGAAGCATCGTCTTTTCGGTGGCCTCTCCAAGTGTTCTTCGATATTTTCGAATTAGAATATTATCAATTTTATGTAAATATATATCTCATAGTTTCATTTATAAGTTAATAGCGTTTTTTAAAGAAAATGTATGATTTTGTTCGTGCGTCAAATTGACGCGTGTCCGTATAGATGGGTATATGAGAACTGTCCGTGAACCTAGTGTTATCACTGCTTGTTTTGTTTGCAGGTAATCGTTAATATTATGGGATCAATGAATTGTCGGCCAGAGGTTACGATTTCAAGGGACCAAATTTTTCTTTAACTCCTACAGTATCTATATATGTAGACAATTGACATTTCGAATGAAGTATTAGTTTAAAATCATGATTAGTAAAAAGTAACAGCAAGTAAAACTGTGCTTATCAATTTTTATCTCAGAAACTATTGATCGATTATATTGTGTAGAACTTGCTCGTGTAAAAATATAAATGTTGGCATTCGATAACTTCAAAAAAAAAAGTCGACATTTTAAAAGATTCGAAATTTGTAAAGAAAAAGTTTTTCAGTCAAAAAATCTGAAAAACTGTATGGCTGTAGTATCTCTAATTTTTTTCATAATTTTTTATAGGGTAGAACAAAAGAAATCAAGCGTAAATTGATAATCATGGTTAGGTCGATAACTACCCTAATAGACAGGGTGCTGAATCTTTGTCGAAATGGTTTTCCTAGGAAGTTCTTTCAATTGACGTATCACACGTTTCATTTGATTAGGTCAGCCTAGACCTATTGCCTTAATAGCATCGTCATTAAATGGGCATAAATGAAAACATATCTTTCGTAAAGTGTACAAATTTTTCACGAATATTTCTCGAACAGAAGAGGGATATCTTGTATAGAGTCGTTAAATTTTCTCGAAGTCGTTTAATTTAGTCCACAAATGATAAAGGGGCGATTCTTCGTGTAAAAATTAATCAATATTTGGGAATTCATTTTTTTTCTTTTTATTGCGACCTAGTTTCGGACAAAAACCCAACTGATAATGTAGATCGTTGTTATATATGTACAAAAGATATTTATATCGATATCGTAATAGTTTCGAAAGGAACGAAGGCCTAAGAAAGTGCAGGTTGCATACTTTTAAAGACCATCTTATTGCAATCGATTTTTCGATAGGACCTTAACGAAACAACATTTTTGTTTGGTAGATAGTCCGCTGCATAAAGCTCCTCGCAACAATCGTTAAAAATAATTACAAGTTATTGTTGTTAGTGCATTCGTTCAAGGATCTCGACACACTATTCATAGTACCTTAGTTACTATACTTCATTGCTGTACGTTGTGTCCATACATGTTGCTATTGTCAAATGGCATAACGTTAAAAGTTTCCGAAAATTTCATCGCAAAAGCAAAGCTACCTTTAACCTCTTAGACTGGAATTTAATCGAAAACTACGTGAGGTGTTCGCCACTGTGTCACAGGATTACTGACTGCTTCGATCTTCTTCAGATGGTTCGGCCCGAGGTGGCTATCGTGTGTGAGAGACGTTGTTCCAACTGAAAAGTGGTCAATCGGAGCGATTCGTTGGAATATTTTTAGGCAAAGAGAACTTAGGTATTTGATGGACGAGGTGCAGAGATTTCACGATGTTTGAGTAACTGTAATTTCACGTTTCACACAGATGCTGTAACGTAGGTAGGTATCAGAAGTTGGACTAGACACAGTTGAAGTGTAAGCACGTACAGAGGAGAGAAGGTCGACGCAGGCCGTGACTCGTTGTACGTCTCGTGTCTCGTTCTGAGATATTAAAGTGATTCAATATTCGGCTCCGGTCATAGGTCACACGTGTAGGAGGGACACGTCTTTTATGCGCTTGTCCATATATCACGAACTGCCGTTGGCGCGCGTGGAATAATTCCATGAAAAATTGCACGCGTTATACGCGAGTAACGCCCTGACTCTCGGCGATCTTTGCGGTCTTCGGTGCGTAACTTGAAACAAGGAAGGATATAAATCGAGTGTATGTAGATTGTATCTATACAGTTGCGAGTGGAGGTATGGGAAGGCTTGCAGCTTGAACTGTTAACAGATACATGTACGTGTTGCAAATTCGAATTTTCAAAATAGCGTTGTTGAAGTAAATTGAATCTCGAGGAAGTACAGGTGAAATTGGATGTAAATCTGAGAATTGCTGAATTGGTAGGACGATGAGTGTGAAGTTCAAATTGTCGTAAAAATCCTGGAATTCTTCAGGAAATTTCACTGTGTGTTAATTGGCATTTTTATAAATTCTTTTGAACGATTTCAGTTCTATTTTTGGTGCATATAACCAGAAGAATAGAGTTTATCGAAGTGAAAAAGAAGAAACGAGCATATATTCATCAAAAGTGAACGAAGTACTTTGTACCTCGACGTTGCAGCATTTTTATTATATCACGTTTATTTCAATTTATGCAAAATATTATCGAATATCGAAAGGTGAAATTTATGTATCTTATATTTTCATTGGTGTGTAAATAGTTACAAGTACATACGTGCTGCGCCATGAAACTTGGACAAGCGATATGTCCTATAATCGTAATCTCGCTGGTTGGAGAGAAGTTTGTGAATGATTGAAGATGGTTGATCACAGGTACTGTTATTACAACTATGTTGGATATCTATGCACAACTGCTTAACAGTTATATCGTACATTCTTTCATTTATCAATAAAATCTTCCGAAATTCGCTCCTGTGAGCTGTGACCCGCTCTCCAGCGAGTAGAAACAGTAGTGAGGTTACCAGGCGTATTTATTTTTGATAAAAATCTTAATTTATACAGTCATTCTTAATTTATTCTGTCGTTTGGGTATTGCTAAACTTTTCCAATCAACGTTCCTTCTTTTTTTCATTTTTTACATACTAACATTGAGTGAGAGGACGAATAATAGAGATGGTAAGGAGGAATACCCTCGTTGGATCCTCTCAGTGGTCTCTTCTGGTCTCTCACATGGTAGCCCATTTACCAGACAATCTCTTGGTACCACCGAGTACTGTGCAGAGCTGGAAAGAAGTCCCGTGGAAGGAATGCGGGTCTGATTTGGTCGTATCCCCATAAGAATCGCCTTCTCTCTGACACAATCATGTATTGACTTTATTGTCCGACGTGACAACATTGACGAATCGGAAGTACCCCTCTTGTTCCTGTGCCATCTCACTAGATTTATTTCCAGCTTTGCGCAGTAGGCTTCTCGAATCAGCGTTCCTGTTCCTTGAACAATCTACCATGGGCCGCGAGTATATTGCCCATTCTGGAGTTTCCAAGTTAGCAGGATGGTGTTACGACGTCGTGGCG